CGTGCGTGCGTGCGTATTTAAATTAAGTAAATATATTCAAATTTTTATAGGTCTAATACGGTTTCTTTTTGATGCATAATTATTCTAATATTTTTTTTTTGTATTATACATATAATATCTTATATAGTCTTTATTACAATTCTATTCCATTATATTCTTTATATTTACGTTTATATTTGTTTATCAGGAAATTTTAGATTTTAATGAAATATATGAAGTAGGATCCTTAACATCAACGAACATTATGATGGGAAGAACACTGTGTGCAGATAACACAATTACTCAGGCTGTCTGCGTTGCATCAGTGTTTCTGTTCTCTGGAGCTAATCCATCGCAATTAAATACTGTACATTATATATAATTTAGCATAATTTTGCTAGTTATAACACTGTTTTTATATTTTTTAAAGACTAAAATTAGAGAATTATTAAAAATCATACAATAAAGTTTGTAAACTTTAATATACATATATTTTATATATACAACAAATCAAAATCGTTTCTAATAAAGTCATTCATTGCAGACAGCATTTCCGGAAATATTATCGAATTATCCGGCTGGCAGTTCCAGGCAAACATTAGTTCATTATTACCAAAATATGGTTACAAGTGAGTATTCCTTTTCCTTTCAGACATATCACAATATAATCTGTTAAGTCAATTATAAAAAAAGAAATGTGCGTTAATGCATATCTAAAATGTTTTTTAATATTATCAGTTATATTTTTACTGTTTTGTCTTTATTAAATGTACACTGAAAAAACAAATTTTGTATATTCAAGGAAATATTATTTGAAGCAATTTATTAGGAGTTTTCTTAAATACATATTTACTTGAATATAACGAAAACAATTTTTAAAAATTACATTTACTTGATTTGAGTTTATGTTTCTCATATATTGGTATTCCAATATAATAAGTTTTTTTAAGTACATTTCTCACTCTTTTTAATTACGTAATATTTTATTTTATAAGTGAAACTTAGATAAACATAAAATATCAATTCAAGATTTGTCAGTATCTTTTAATTTTAATTCTATATTTATGTAGATAATTAATACTTATTGTTGCAGAGAAATTTCAAGCTTACGACTATGGATATATCGGCAATTACAAGCATTATAAACAGGCTACACCTATAACATATGATGTTAAAAAAATTACTGCGCCCGTAGCTATATTTTACGGCGGTAACGATTTGCTTGCTTTAAAATCGGTAAGATCACATTGTCTTTTATATAACAATATCTTTGATTAAAAAATATAAATCAAAAAAAGAAACAAAATTTTATAATACGATAAAGAAAGCCAAGATCGGTCAAAGTTGCATGTTTCAAATAATACATTATATATTCTTTTAAATCCATTTATTCCGGATATGACTGAAAATTTTATAAAAATTACGCATACTATACATACATATTGTATTTATAGTAAAAATTTTGTTTCTTCAACTTATAGTATTTACACATATATGAAAATAATCTCTAAGAAATAATTATTTTCTCAAATTATTATTACTACTAATTGTATAATCTTCCATATTTTTGTTTCTAGACTATCTTCGAATTGTATAAGCGTCTGCCGAATGTTGTCCTACTGGAGGAACAAAAATCATTTACTCATTTGGATTTTATAATAGCCATCGATGTTAATACTCTAGTGTACAGTCGCGTAATAGAACTATTTCAGGAGTTTGATAATAAGGCATAGACAATCGATAATGAATCAATCTGTATCTAATACTTCTTCATTAAAAAATTATTTTCGTATTATATAAAAAACATCCACTCTTTATTAGAAAAATTCATATTACTGTTGTACCCTTGGGTGAAGGATACAGGTAGGGGATTCGCCGAGGACCCGGACACACAAATAAACTACCCAATACAAAATAACACTTTAATAACTTTAGTAAATTCTTACACTATCACAATTAAAAATTAAGTGTTACAAGATTTAGCCACTTGACATGTACTTTGCAATTTCGCGTCGGCCCGATTTTGGTTATATGATAAGTTCGCGTTCGCGTTGACTTTATGAATCGGTTGACTTATATTTTATATTAGAGCTGTTGGCGTACGGGCGTTGTCTCGGATAACAGCTGATAGTAGACTCTCTTTTGCCAGTATGTCACGGTTAATATACTTGCTCGAACTGCTGACTGGACTTGCACTTCGGTCAGCTGTTCGAGCAGATTTCGGTTGCTCTCATTTTTAAGGTGGTCATTGCTGACACTCTTGCAACCTAATTTTTTAATCTGACGGGCAATAGCTTCCGTCTTTCTGCAACTTGCGAAGAACAGCTTGCGTTATTTCCGTGCTGCTTCCGCAAGATTGTATTTTCGCAATTGAACTAAAGTAGGCAATGAGTATGCTGACTTTTCGGAAGTCAGTGGTATTTAGTTCCATTACGGAATGACCAAGTTTCCTAATTAATTTCTACATTGCTGTTGCTAAGTTGCCTCATTCTTATTATATTATAATGGTTATAGCTGCGGCTATAACATTACATTACTGTCAAAAAAAACTACAAATTGGCCTTTTTTAAAACAAATATAACAAAAAAGTATTACTGCTTATCATGGGAACGCTGTTACTAAAAAAGTTTTCTTTGTCTGGAAATATCAACTAAGAAATGTATAAGTTTTTTATTAAGATAAAATATAGAGATTTTAATGCGCAGGGAGATTAAGTGGTTGGGATAGATATTTAATAAATAGACCGGAATTAGTGAGATAGTACATTTTCAATAGATACGGTAAAGGCTACGAGAGAGGTGAATGGACAATCACAGGAAGACGGAGAGATGATTTTAGATTATGTATTCCCAGATAGACAAGCGTGCGATACCCGCACAAGATACCGCAAAAGGCTACGAGAGAGGTGAATGGACAATCACAGGAAGACGGAGAGATGATTTTAGATTATGTATTGAGGGAAGAGAAAAAATAAGAAAGCTGAACGTAGACGATAGAATGGATTCGCATCATGTCTTACAACGAGAAGTGTTCATCCCAGAAGTGTACACTGAGTTTCTCTGTGACGTTACCGACAATTAATAAAAATTTATGATTATTAACATAAATATTTTACGATGATACATTATTATATTTGTGATTTTTTATTATATAAAAGTTGTATAAATAAGTATGTATACTTTTAATGATATAATATCTTATATATTGCCGAAAAATTACAATTTTAAGCAGTTATCATCTCTATTGATAATCAAACTCGGATGATATCATTAAAATCACAGTTTTAAATAAAAATCGAATATTATTAAGTTTTAAACATATGTACATGTCTACAAAATTAATAAATTACGAAATTAATACCGTATTACTAGTTTATTACTCTTAATTACTTAAATTTTATACGGTAAAACCAAAGTGGTATATGTGCCAATAAAAAAATAAAATTGTATGTCTGATAATATAGATGTCGTTCTTGCAAGAGATGATCTAATATGGTAGGTAAGGACAGACGTATGCGTTCAAATGAGAGATAAAAAAATTTGTAAGAAATAATAATTAAAGAGATCACTATTATCGACATTTTTATATACAATTTAATTGGAGTTCAAAAGATTTATACGATCAAGTCCGGCTGTCACATTCTAAAATTTCCTTAAATATTAAAAAATCTCATTTTATCTCATTTCCGAAAAAAATTGATAAAATCTGAAGAAGTTTAAAGTACTTTTCAGAAGTCTTGTATATAAATAATTTAAAATACACACAAACATGTATTCTGAAAAATATTGTGAGATATGAGAATTTTTTTTACCAGTCGTAGCATCTATAAAAATTAAACTGTATATAGGGTGTTTCTGAAATAACGCCCACTAATCATATAGTGCCTAATAAAAAACTGAATCGTACAATCCTCTACTATTTTGCAATTTTCGCAATATTTTTTTGAGTTGAGCAAAATATCTAAAAGAGTTCTTTAAAAAACATCTTGAAATGTTTCACAGAGAGAGAACATTGAAAAATATCTTAAAATTGTCTTATACATCGATTTTATCGCGTTTATTCAGCAACCTTTAGAAATTAATATCTTGTTAACACAATTGCGAAAATTGCAGAGGACTTTTAGAGGACTTTTTGATTTAGTTTTTTATTAGGAGTAGCATAGTTATTTCAGAAACACCCTGTATACATACCTATTATATAAAAATACGCATGCGTACAGAAATGATGGGGGACATACGTTCCCCTTCTATGGTAGTAACGCATGCGTGAAAAGGTTCCCATCTGGGTTCACCGATACCGACGGCGCCATTTGTTTGGACGCGCTCCAGAACCGTTTCGCGTCGGAGCAGCTCTTCGCTTCGGAGTAAAAGGGTCCGGGGCTATGCTTGGAGGATAGCGCAACAATGAGCTGATTCCTACGATCGGAGTTCTCGAGTATCATGCTACGAGGAGCAATTACAGTTATTTCGCGAACCGATAGCAACGTACGGCCGCCTTGTTTTAACGGCGTTTGAACGAGTCGGATCTCATTCTGTTGAAGAAAAGGCGTTACGGATAGACTAGAATGTCTCTAAGCGCCAGCGCGGAGAATCTGTCGTCCGAGGGACAAGTGAGTGAATCAACGCCCAATTAATGACGCTGAGCTTCCCACGCGTGACTCACGCTTATCGCTGCCACACCTGTTTCTTTATACACAATTTTGTTTCGTCGATCAATCATTTACTATGGTATGAGTTATATTTCGGAGTGGACTCGCAAGGAAATTTACTTTATCTCAGTTTTTATGTTCCGGAGCAAACTTTGTTATATCTTTGTTAAGAACAGTTTAATTCATTCGAGTGAAATAAATATGCTTTTGAATTAATTTTTTCTTAAATCTTCACATTTTCGTAATAAAACGCATATTACTGAGTCTTTCTATATACAATAATTCTATATACAATAATTAATCCATATCAAGCTTAACATTTTTCCATCTTCAACTTTTCGCTATCAAGCTTTGCTTTAACTTCTCTCTTTTATCTACTTTGTAGAATCAAAGAATAAATTTTTTTCATCTTGTCTGTGTAACATATTTTATTGTATAGTTAATGTATCGCAAACATTTGCATGATTTGCAACATTTGTATAATTCTAAAAGATGTATATCTTATATTAGTAACTGTTAAATTGGATGTTTATTCAATATTATTTTGCAAATTTTCCAAAATCACTCTATAACTCAAATGTATTTCACTAACAATTCTATAAACACTTCTTTATGACATGCAAAGTCTGCGACGATTAACTGAAAATGTAGAATCATTTTCTGTAAAAGATTCTGTAAAAGAATATCCCAATATGATGTTTGTAACGTTTTTTAGCAGAATAGCGAGAGATGGAACATGTGTCTGGAACTAGCGCTGGAGGGCGAACGCTTATGCAAAGCTGGGGATTGCAAATCCGGGGTGGCGTTCTTCCAGGCAGCAATCCAAGCTGGTACAGACGATCTGCGAATACTAAGTGCTATCTACAGCCAACTGGGTAACGCGTACTTCTACTTGGGTGACTATGTCAAAGCGATGCAGTATCACAAGTTAGACCTGACTCTCGCCAGGAATATGGGCGACAAACTGGGCGAAGCAAAATCTAGTGGGAATCTGGGAAACACACTGAAAGTTATTGGAAAGTTTGACGAAGCCATGATATGCTGCAAGAGGCATCTGGAAATATCTAGAGAGATTGGGGATAAGGTACTCATATTTCAATAAGAGAAAAATTACTGATACTGACATACCGCTTTTCTATTTCTTAAAGGATGTATTACAAATATTTTTTAAATTATGAAAAAATTATTCTAGATCGCATTTAAAAGTAACACAAAAAATTCAGCGGTGATTTAGAAACTGTGATTAAAAGTTATTCCGATAAAGATAGTATCTTTTATCTCTATGCTGCAACAAAAATCTATGGAAATGTATTATAAAATAGCAACAAAAAAATTCAATTTTTTAATATTAGTACTGTAAGTATTCAAGATAATTCATGCGAAATTATATTGCGAAGCAGATTAGCTGTTTTGTAAATGAACAAAGTATTTATTTGTTCTAAATCTCTAATTTGTAAATCGCAACGAAACATTACATAAATCATTTTGGATACTTAAGAAACTGTGATACAAAAAAATTGAGATTTTTACTATTTTTAGTTCATAATTGTGGCAATAAAATAATAACAAAAAAAGTAAATGAACTATAAGAATGAGCTGTTCAATAAAAATAGATTGTACTAAATATAACTTTTATATACAGATATAGTTTATCAAAGTATAAATATTAACACACTTATAAAAATAGATGCAATATACATCCTTAAATAAAAAACAAATCTGTAGAAACATAAATACAAATTAGAAAGCTCAATATCAGGCTGCTTGTCGCCTTTATGAAGTAAATTGTAATGTTCACAAAAACATTGGCATTTTAATAATAAATTGGGACATGAAGATAATTCGTGAAACGCTTAGCTTCGGTATAGAAAATTCCTGTGGAGGTTTCAAAAGTATTAACAATAGAAAGTATCAATACTGTTTCGAACTTTGCAACAATTAACTTTTTGTAAGATAAACAAAAAAGAGCGTCTGAGAAACTGAGTCTCAAAATTTACATACCTAGTATAATTGGTAGTGATAGACGAGTTCTCTCACATTATCTATACAAAATACATACAAGTTAATAGTTTCTAGAATCCTCTCACTTTGATGTAAAATGTTATCTTTGTCGATTTATATACATATCTCTCTATTGTGGTTCCGCCAGATATAACGTATATATCACGACTATATACAGAGAAGATTAGGTTAGGTTACTACCCTATTATCTATATTATTGACGGTGTGCTGTTTTATGCTACATTCCGATCTCATATTTAAAACTGCACTACAAAAAAATTTAAATAAAATAGTTTTGAGGAATTTTATAATTTATATTTTTATAAATGTATAATTCCTTTTTTTGTGTGCAGCTTAGCGAGGGAAGAGCCCTGTATAATTTAGGAAATGTGTATCACGCGAAGGGCAAGCAAGCAGGTAGAATAGGTCATCAGGATCCAGGAGAGTTCCCTGAAGATGTTCGACAGTGCTTGCAACAGGCGGTGCGCTATTATGAGTAAGATTTAATCCACACAATTATTTTCAATTAATTTTAAAATTTATGTTGTACATGTCTCTTAGTGCCTTTCGTTTTTTTGCAGAGAAAATTTAGAGCTTATGAGGGAACTGGAGGATTCCGCTGCTCAAGGTAGAGCATGCGGCAACTTGGGCAATACATTCTACTTACTGGGCGATTTCCAACAGGCTATTTATTATCACAATGAACGTTTAAAAATTGCCAGAGAATTTGGCGACAAACCAGCGGAAAGAAGGGCCAACAGCAATTTAGGAAATTCGCACATATTTTTAGGCGAATTTGAGAAGGCTGCACAGCATTACAAGTAAATATGGTTTTAACAAATTATAACCATGCATCTTTGTTGTTTTGTGCAAATAGCATTAATGTTTAACTTTTTGGAGACCATGAATTCATATATTCATTCGGTGCAAAGAGTCATTTTCGTTGTATGAGTTTAACGAACATTTTTAACTTATGCTCTTGACAAGCACAAAATTAAACAATTTTAGTGGTTACATGTACGTATATTTCACGTACATGTCATCGATGATATTTTGTCCTATTAAGAATTACTACAACAGAATGCCACTTGACAACTGATTATGGGTCTTAAAATGCAGTCTTAAGTCGAAACTGGAGTAGTAATATCATAGATTAAATGGATATTTAATTTGTGTTATTGTAATTTAATGTTATTGTTGCAAATAAGTATGTTAGAAAGCTGTTAATGATTTCACACTGGTAAACACAAATATCTTACAGGACCCATTTTCAAAACCTTTTCTATTTGTAATTTTAGAAAAAAAAATATTTTAGGTAAAAAAGTGGAACGGGGAGGTTTTGAAGGGAACGTATTTTAGTCATGTTGCTTTTGAATTGCTACACAAAGAGTTTAAATAAATTTGTAATTTGCAAAATTATCAAAAATTAAAAATTTTATTCAATGTTTAGGAGGACCTTAGTTCTTGCACAAGAATTGGGAGATCGTGAGGTAGAGGCGCAAGCATGCTACTCTTTGGGAAACACGTATACTCTCCTGCGCGATTACTCGGCAGCCATTGAATACCACTTGTGGCATCTGAGTATAGCTCAGCAATTGAAGGATCGCGTCGGCGAAGGACGCGCCTGTTGGTCGCTGGGCAATGCTTACGCCGCTATGGGCAATCATGAGAAAGCGCTGCACTACTCGAATCTGCATCTGCACATCTCGAAAGAGTTGGAAGATCAAATGGGCCAAGCTACTGCGCAAATGAACGTCGATGACTTACAAAAAATCCTCGGTCTAGAAACAAATCAACAGGAATGCAACAAGGAGAATCTAAACACCCAAAAATTAACCACAAATGCGACATCGAATGTTCCGACAACCATGCCCTGTAGATATAGACTCAGGCGACAAAGTATGGACAATCTTGATCTCATTAAGGTTTGCACAAATTTTCTATTATTGAAACAATACTGAAATAATGAATTAATTTAAATCTTTTAATTTTAAGTTAATTAATAATTTATATTAAAATATCAACATTGAAATGAAATTGATAAAAAATTACATGAAAAAAATTAAAATTTTATTATATAAAACATACTATACATATTTCATTAAGTTGATAAAACTAACAATTGTATTTAATCAGCTCACACCTGATGCAAAGCAGAAAGATAAATCGGAAATCGTGTTGGACAAAGACGACAACGTTGCGCCGCAACCTTCTCAAAAAGAGGAAGATAACTTTTTCGATCTTCTATCCCGGTTTCAATCAGGCAGAATGGATGATCAACGTTGCGCGCTCAACACAAAGCACAATCCAAAATACCGAACGATTTCGCCGGAAGTATCTGACATCGATGACAAGTATGTGAAACATTCAGTTCTTTTGAATAGGCGCTAGTCATCGACTTACCGTGATAATATATCATATTACACTTATTGTGTCTAACGGATGTTTGACAAATTTATTTTTAGGGATGGTGAGGATTTACTGGAATTAATCGCTGGAATGCAAAGCAAACGAATGGATGAGCAAAGAGTGACGTTACCCTATCTACCAGGGCTGAATACCAATCAAGACTCAGACGATTCCTTTATCGAGATGCTTGTCAGATGCCAGGTTAGGATTTAGCTTGATGCACTGTCGAAACTTTTCTCTTGCCCGACAGGAAGGACACCTTGTACAAAGGATTGTGTGTTTGCTTTCAGAGTTCGCGTCTAGAAGATCAACGAAGTCCTTTACCTGCTGCATCAACGTTGCAAGACGCTGAGGAGGAAAGAGGTCGAAGAGCTAATGGAAAAACTCAATCAGGATCCACAGTGCCCGAAGAGGATCTCTTCGCTCTAATCCAAAGACTTCAAGCTGGTCGGATGGAGGATCAAAGGGCTTCCGGACCTGGCAAGGCATGCTAAACTCGCGAGAGCAAACGATGACTTAAGTCCTCACGAAGTCCTTCCATTTACTGAATTCTTTCAGCTTATGTATCCTCGATTACATCGATGCCTTCGTTTATTCATCCGCGATTCTGCTTCCTTGATTACTTAATAGAGGATAACTGGTACTATATCTGAACGGTCTGGTTCTAATTCGAAAAAACAATGACTCAAATTATCTGGTTATAAGAACCAAACACCAGATTGATTAAATTTACAATTAGTAAAGGCAAGAAATTCATGCGTCACTCAAAAAATGATCTTAGTAAGTAAAATGTTAGCAGAATATTGACAAACTAGCAGCAGATTTGATCAAAAATGTCAGTAGACTGACATTAACTGCGATTAAATTCTGCTTTTATCGACAGAATAGCCATCAGAAATTGGTAGCACACTTTGCTCAAAATCTGTCTTTGCAGACTTGGCTTTCTGGGATTATTTGCTATTCTGTCACTGAAAATATGATACAAACTGAAAGATTTCACATAGATTTTACGTTTAACTCAAGATACTTAGAAGATACTTATAAGATATTTGCTAATCTTTAATATTTACTATTTGGAAAACTATTATCTTCTTTTTTTTCAAATATGGAAATAGTTGCAGAAATGAATTCGTTTTTGCATTTAGACCTTCGATTCCGTTCAGATAGACTTATTCATTTACGTAGACTACCGCGTCTACAATGGTGTAATTGTTAAGTAATTGATACTCTCCTAATCGATATTCTATTCGGGAAAAGAGGATTAGATCTGATCAAGGGCTCTATTCTGTACACTTACCGATAGTAGTGCTGTGCAGCTTTTTTCATTAATTCATTCGATGGCGCAACATCCCAAAGTCGGGACAGGGCCTACCTCATACTAGTAGTATGTCCGTGGTGCGTATGCAAGTTATACACAGATATACAGAACTTACGATTTAACGCCAGTTCCGAACGACAGTTTGATAGGTTTTCGTCAACAGATACTCTTGATAGTTTGCCAGACCACCGAAGAGGAGTAATAAGCGCGTGAGAATTTCTTGGATCTGCCGGGGATCAAATCCGAGTCCCCTAGCATAATAGAGTCGCGCGGTGTCCACCATGTAGCTGCGCAGTTTTTTTACTATACAAAATATTTGCGCAACGACACATAACGACACTGACAGCTATCAGTAGACATGTATAAAATAAGATCCCAGGTCAAATTAAAATTATATCTTGACAGATCAAATTATATCTATTCAGATATGCTCAGGTATACAGACTTCTCATATCTGCGCGGATCTGATCACGCAGATATGTTCATATACAACCATATGGAGTATACATCATCTATTGACCAGATATGTCACACTTATATATGTATTAACATTCAGTGTTCGTGAATCATCAAAGTAGTAGTTCCCATATGATCATAGAGATCAAGTAATACTGGATATGGTACAGCTTATACTGAATGATCACTTGAGAGCACCATAAAATTAATTACTGCGAATTTAAACGGGGAAATGTTTTTTTTTTAATTATAATTTTGTCGTATTGAATTATGAAATATAATACTAATCAATAATACTTATTTTAGCAATAAAATTGCATTAATTAATGTTATATGAAAAATGTTTGAGGGTCTGATTATATCTTTTTAGATCTGGCCAGATAGAAACAATATTTACAGAGCTTATCAGATTTATTAAAACAGATATGGTTATATTTCAACAGATCTAATTCCTTTTTCCCAGGATATTCATAGTTCAGCAACTGCTAGAATCCGGTTTGTGCGAAAGCATTACAATGCAATAATGAGAAAAATTTTTCAGTTAATCATCTAGTAATAACAACTGCCGTTAGTTTCTGGTTACTTGATTGAATAAATTATTGTTGAGTAATATGAGCTGCACTCTCGATAAATAAGTTATTTGCCAATCGTAAATAAGTCACGAGGGTTAGCTGTAATGCTTTTGCGGATCGACAACAGTCGTGATTTATGTGACATGCCAGTAACTAGCATCAGTTTTAGTATTATCAAGATTTTTATAATGCCTGCTTTACACGGGTTTGTAATTGCGCGTGCAAAACAGGTTTTCCGAACACTGCCAGTTTGAGGGCGTGAATTATTTTCGGACATTCGCGTTCGCCTGATAAACGCGGAGGGCCATTCACATTCTCAAGAGATCGTAGATTTATTATTTTATATACACATATATATATTTTTTGTGCGTATTTCGATTTACTTCCATCTCTATAAGGAGAGAAGCGGGATTATTTTTTTAAAGAATATATGTATTACGCGTGGAGATGTTATTTACAGTGGATGAGGAAAGTATTTGCGTACTGCTGAGTTTCGCTATTAGTATAGCTCTCTTGATTATTAAATAGTTGCAAATAGATAACACCAATAAATAAATTATGTATTATACGGGAAAAGTTAAAAAGTAAAGTGCGTTTATAATTTTCTTTTATGACACGTGGAGACATTACGTAGCATTTTTTTGCTTTTATTTGCAAATGGAAGTTTTCAGTCATGACTAAAGTCAATTAATTGTTTTGAAGGTTTCAGAAATCTACATTCGCGTAAGATTTAGCTATTGTTAACTACATTCTTAATGTAGTTAACACACATAGACACATAGTTAATGAGAAATTGCTAAGTATGTTAATTGCATTCTACGAGCCAGTACACTTTATTTCTTAATTTTCACGTATGAGACATATTATACATATAGTTGCCGCTGGAACAAATATTTTTGAAGGATTTTAGATAGAAAGAGAAAGTTATAAATATTTATAGTTTAAAAAATCACTGTGCATGAATGTTACTTTTACTTAGTGCGTGTTCAATAGGATGGAGATTTGTAGCGAATATCAGTGCCAAAGATTCTCGATACACTAAAAAAAGAAAAAAATCCGTTAAAACCCCTGGAGAAATTTTTTTCTCAGAATTTTTCATATAATCTTATAACTTTTAGAAAATTTTTCAAATTTTTTATACAAATTGGAACACTTTTTAAAAGTGCTGAGAAAGTATACATCCTTTTTAGAATTCTTCATATACACACACCTGTATAAATTCTGAAATATATTTTTAAATTTCTAAGATTTCTCTTCCTATATATAATTTCTGACGAAATCTTATAAATTCTGAAAAAGTTTAAAATATATTTTTTCAAAAATTATAAAATAAAAAGTATTAAAATCTTAGAATATTTCGTAATTCATATGTATGAAAAATTCTAAAAAAAGATATAGACTTTCTTAATATTTAAAAAAAATGTTCCAATTTGTACAAAAATTCTGAAAAAAATTTTCACTAGGAAAGGGGAAGGAAAGTAAACTTATCTTGACTGAATATCTCTTTTGCGTCGTTGTCGCAGACATTTTTTCCGTGAAGGTATATTATCATTGTATTATAGAAGTACTGACGACCGTATTGAAGATCATGTTTGATATTATTTCTAATTTACGAAATATTAAATATTCGTTCAATTCACCTTGTTGTATTTATCCTTCGCGGTTAGAGAATTAGCTTCTTCTAGCGTACTTTCAATTTGGGATATAATTTCCGAACTTTAAAAACTTGATATTTGTTATGATAAAAAATATCTGTTACTAGTTTAACGGATTTTTATTAGGACTTAAATTAGGACTGATTAGTCGAATGTGGAGGATATGTTTAGCTGTAGCGCTTCATCCGTTCTAATGATCAAATGTATGTATATAATTAAATAATTTCATGCCAATTAAAACGTCGGCTTAGCGACGAGCCGAACTGCAACAACGTTGTCATTTTATGCGAAAAATTATGGATAAGAAATCTAATTTTTCGAAAAACAAAAAATTATCAATAAGAAATCTAACAATAAGTTGACAGTTGATTCAACAAGAGTGCAAGAATAGTGATATATTAATTACCGAATCGAGATCGCTGAGTATCTTCTGCTATGTTATGAAAGTATAATTGTTATGAAATTATAATTGCAAAAAAATTGTACATAAATGGATAGAACTTAGATTTTATCGAAGAAAGGACTGAAACTATTGATGAGAATACTAAATGACAAATCACGCTGTTTGTAGAACGTTCATAGTCCTTCGTAGAATTTTTTTCTTTATCATTATTTCTTAAGATATTCTAGATCATTAAGATATTCTAGATATATTGCTTTATCTTAATCTTTTTTGCATAACAAACATTCGTTATAATGTACTATACGTTAACTATATAAGTTCTTCGTACTAATCGATAACTTTTAGTTTCTTGACCATCGATAAGGTATAAATACATTCCATTCTGTCCATATGATAGTGTATAATATACATATAAAGGATCAATAAAAATATATATACTTTTTTCAGAATTGAGAGTAATATAATTTATAATTGATAGTCACGCCCTATAGTGCCCTATACAAATCCCTATATTTCTTGAAGATGCAGCTCTCTGCATCCTACTTTCTATTTTTCTCGCAATATGTCAGAAAAGTCTAAACGCTTTTTCACCGCTAAGACTAATCATCGTCCTGACGCGTATACTGCATACGAATGGCCGGAATGGAAGGATTCCGATTTGAATAACGAGAAATGGGAGATACCTAAAGACGGTCCAGATGGTCTATTCCTAGACGCAGAACGTGTCGTTATGCCTTGGTCTTTAGAACCTGACCGTTGGATACGAGCAAAAGATTTGGAACACTTGACTGTACTGTCACTATTTTAATTATGCACTTTAGATAACGGACATTAATTTTTTTAATTGACTCCCTTACTTTAAAAGTGACATAAAATACATGATTTTTGAGTTATTATCATGAGTTAAATAAACATTCCATTTCATCAAAAGTGAATTAACTTAACTTCATAAAAATTATCACAATTGTCACTCAAAAGGAGTGGTTTAAAAATATCGTCAAAATAATCAAAATTTAAAAAAGATTTTTAAAAATTGTGAAACAAAAATTACAAAAATGACATTTAATCATATTAAAAATACCTTTTTTTTGCCAATATTATTTGATTAGTCAGCAATTTTTTCAAATCAAAAAATAGCTTTCTCCCTTTTTTAGGAAACTTAATTTTTTGAATTGTGTCACTTTGAAGTAAAGAAGCGATTATTAAGTTCTGAATAAACTAACACAATAAAATATTATATTAATGTACACAAACATTATGAAAACGGAAATACTCTTCAGGCTCCTCCGACTGTATACATAACGACCGTGGAACATCTTGATCTGGTTACAAACAATAAGCATCTGTTACACAGCGAGGTATTTTTTAAACTATAATGTAATGTAACATTTAATGACTTACAAATTGCGAAGCGACAAACAAGAGCAGCGTTAATGATAATAGCAATTTCCAGTTTGTGAGATGGTTTGTGTCCACGCTGACAAACTTGCAATATTGCGGTCGGGAAGGTTTAGATATTGGCGGAGAGAGCTCGAATTTCACTTGGATTGGTCGCAATAATCCCTGGTATGGTTGGATGCACGTATATTCCATGAACAAAGCTGGGAAAGACATCCAGCATCGACCCATAATAAATCCAAACGGTAGATATGGCATTATATTCAATTCACAATAGTTGGATGATTTACATAAAAATTTTCTAAATCCTTTGTTTGCATTGTTGAATCTCAAATTCAAAGATTGATAATAATTTTTCAAAAATAAGATAAATCTATCATCTGCATATATGTAATATAAGCATATATGTAATATATTCAAAGATTGATAATAATTTTTCAAAAATAAGATAAATCTATCATCTGCATATATGTAATATATAGTGGTTTAAGCGACATGCAAAAATAAGATAAATCTATCATCTGCATATATGTAATATATGCAGATGATAGATTTATCTTATTTTTGAAAAATTATTATCAATCTTTGAATATATTACATATATGCTTATATTACATATATGCAGATGATAGATTTATCTTATGCAGCTTATATTACATATATGCAGATGATAGATTTATCTTATTTTTGCATGTCGCTTAAACCACTTTGGTTCCAATTAACAGATAATGTATAAACATCTTCTAGGAAAATATATTGTAAGATTATATTGTATGGGGTGCTGGCGTCGCATCTTAGTGGACGACATCGTTCCTGTGGATAAAAATGGCAAGCCTCTTTTACCACGAACGTCCAACAACTTCGAGCTATGGCCGATGCTTCTCGCCAAAGCACTTCTCAAACTGGCCTCATTGACTTGGACCAAACGCCGCGAGATCGTCGATTTTCATCCAATCACTTGTTTTACAGGTGGACACAACGTCCATTTTGTTTTCAATAAAATAATTAATGTAATTACTTTAGTTCAAAAACAGTTTCTTTCTTTAAACTAATTTTTAACGACTCGTTTCAAAATCTGCTATCTGCTATGAACAAATTAATCACCATAATTGATCCTGTTGACGATTCTAATAGCGTATTCGATTTACTGACTCGACCCGACTCCGAGTCAATAGTCTGTTCTGTTTAGCTGCAAAAGAGCTAAATTGTGTAAGAAATGCAGCTAAAAAGAACAGACTGTTGACTCAGAGTCGGGTCGAGTAAGTAATCGAATACGCTATAAGAAACGTTCTATAGTAATATAAATTTTAATAGTAACACAGGTTGGACCTGCTTGACAATGAATATCGCGCATCTTACGTTGCAAGATAAGTGGGATTTCCTAACAAAATATTCCGAACGTTTTGAGTGGACTTCGCAAACCGCACAAGATTATATTCCAGGTATGTCCATCGAATGTATATGTACTGTACATACATAAAGATCTATGGACGTTTCTTCGGTTACCGCATTACGTTATTCCCGTCTATATTTCCGAATAGAAAGCTCTGTGAATATGACTAGCGAGACAAAGAAACCCAGAGAAACTTGGCTTGCCGCCGAACCCGGTAAACCTCAACCGATCGCGCTATTTGTCCTCTTGGGCGACATGCGAGCACTCGGAAGCGATGCGGTGCCTGGGCTGTCACCCTGCTGGGATCACATAATTCATATCGTCCAGTCACGTGATATTCCTCTCGATCCCAAAGATGTAAGAGCATCAAGTCTCAATTCAATAACTGTCTCTTGATAGCTATCGCGATGATATTTATTACTTATTAAGAAACTCAGATAGTAGGTACAGATAATCGTTATAAATTCTCTGGAAAAAAATAAGGAAATAATAGTAATAATAAAATAATGAGTAACTGTAAAAAATAAAGAAAACATCTTAGAAGAAATAAAACTGCTAACATTCCAAATAACTCAAAAATCTGAAACGCTTATAAAGTTAGAATATGAGGAGAATATTAGAAATATATACCAGATATATATATCTGTTAGATGTTTCTATTATATTCTTAGATTTTTTGTGCGGGTTGTAAAATTGGCTCCAATTTAAATTACTTTTCTTAAGGTAAAGCCGCCATTAGCAAAGTGGAAATTTCATCGCTGGTTAAAGTGGGCCGTTTCGCGAAATATGATCGATCTTGCCGATTACTTCGTCCCGATTCGTTATTTGAAAGTGATCAGTCCTCTCAAAGAGTGCAACAGGAGCGTTGGTCGTGATAAAAGTGACGTTGCAGGAAACTTGATCTCTTCAAACGAGATCGAGCGGTCCGATAAATTTACTCGGAGAATGAGATCTCAGAGAATATCAGACTTACCCACCGCATCGAAAGAAGAAGCAAAGGAAGACGTCAATCGATGGATCGACTTCAACAAAATAGCCTCATACGTGACGGAAGTATATCTGTTTTATAAGCTGGAGTACTTCCAGCAATCGATTCGAGTAACAGACATATTAAAGATAGCCAGTGAGAATCATAAATCAGAAACAGCAAAGGCTGCTTCAATAAAAGAAACTGAAAAGGAAAAAGCAGGTATACTTTTATTGAAGTTTCTGTCTAAAAGAATTCTAGACAAAGAATTGTCTGGAATTCTTTTAAATAGAATTCTAGACAATATATATTTAATTAAAAAAAATAGATCAAATATACATAAATCGAAGGATTTTTTACTATAGCTTATAATTAAGATTCTTTTCTCGAAGAAATCAGATATTCATAATGTTAAAGATTAATTTTAAAAATAGATTGAATTCTTCTTTTCATAAAGATAACACACAATGAGATTTCGACCCAATTTTCTTAAAATTTTTTTCGATTTGAAAACTTACAGACATTTACAACAATATCGGCAAGATATTAAAATCCAGATATAAACCTCTGTATTTGTTCTGCGATTCTCCGAAGAAAAAATTTTTCTTGGTCAATCTTTGCGCCGCACCGAAGAAGAAGAACGATTTGCACAAAAAGAATTACTTGATCCTTGAAAAATACAACTGGTTCTTTATATCGGATTCATCGGATCAATCAATAACTATTTCCACTACTGGCAACAAGTCAACTATTGTGGAATTGGAAGCTGGCAGGCAACTTTTGCAGATTCACAGTCGTTTAGACTCAGGTCTGATGATTATTTCTTCAGATACGGATTTTTATCTTGGAGATCGAGCAACTGTGCAACAACTGATGACCTCAGAGTCGAACAGAATTGAGCAGATATCGAAAATAATTAGCGACAACCTCTGTAAAGCTTATCGATCGTTTGGAACAAGGAATTACCCATCAATGTTGAAAAACTTTTACCAAAGCTACATGCCTAACTTGCAGTTTGCTTCTTCAAAAGAAAATAAAAATTTTCGGACGCTAATACACCATTTCTTCATGGAAGAACAAGTTCGGTTGATCAAGGAGATTGTTTCTGAGGAAGAACTCCAAGACATTCTTCACTCTTTGAAAATATTTTTCCTAAATCCGCGTATTAGATTAGAATCTCTCGATTTAATGACAAATCGAAATATTTTTCAAAATCTTGCAATAAGAGAAACTTCGAAAATATGGTTTTCCACATCGGGCAATTGTGAAGAAGTCCTAGATCAAGCTGCAACTACGATTCAATCTTTTCTCAAGATGGCTGTCGTCAAAGGATATAAAAAACTTCACAATCCTGATCACGCTTTCCATACGCAGATTCGTGAACGACTCCTGAAGATATCCGCTCTATTTGATTTGTCTCTCGCAAGTCGATTATTAAGGAACGTTATTAATCGTCATGACAGCCTGCGTGATCTGTATCCTTGTTCTGAAGACTTCATACACGTTCTGAATATTCAGGAATTCAAAGGTATCCTAAAAAACATCAGGTACGAACAGTACTTCCCGATTGTTAGGCTCGTTGTAAATCCTAAGCCCAAAGAGGCGGTTCTCGCGGCCTTCGAATTGCTAATCGATCTTCCTCGTTTCGCACTGCGTGTCTTCAACAACCAAAATGGACGCGAGATGACACGTCTTGTGAACCACGTGATTCCAACTTATTACGAGTACCTTCCGGATGGTTACACGGTGTTCGCTTACAGCTGGAGCGATAAGCATTTTAAAGAGTTTGACTGGACAATTCGCGTGATTACTATGAAAGGTGACCCAATACTCTATCAACTGGATGAGCAGCAGCCTTTGTCCTTAGAGATCAAACCACCAAGACTGAAAGTCGACGAATTAATCGGTACTTATATCCCGAACGTGAGAGATTGTATCTTGCGTTGTATTCTGCAAACGACTTCAAAGAGAAGCATCGTTTCGATAAGGTTGACAACCTCTTACAACCTAACGGAAATCAGAATAAAAGTTGCCGATGAAGATGGCAACATTTTGATTGACGTGAACGGTGATTCAACGGTATTATTACCCTTAGTGATTTTGAAACATACCACCAGGAATGAGGAAGATTATAGGACTGAGAATAATAGCCAAGATATTAAAAAAAAGAAGAAAAATGCGAAGAAAAAAAATTTATATTATATAGAGGCTTTCGTGTTCAACAATAGTTGGCCCCTCACGAATGTCGAGTGGACAGTCGCGAACCAGGCAAAGATGAAGAGAGCTGAAAATATTAAAATAAAAATACAATCTGGGAATAAAGCATCATCAAGGTCAGGTCTGTCGACGATGAGGAAGGACACGAAGCAATTCGCGAGTGATGTCCAAGCTTTAGAACCACCGTATTGGATTCTTCAGGTTGTTACAGATGCTCGGGACGTTGTAGAGGTATATATTTGTTCCAGTTTATCGAGAAAACTTTTGTTTAAAGTAATTTTAAACCTACCCAACGAGAAATGACCGTCAATTGCACATCAATTCTTCTTGCACACTCTTATAATTACCTTTAAAAATTGTAACTTCATTTAAAATAAATTTTCTCAAAGGATATAATTAAGGAAATTATGTATTTAGTCATATTGTTCACAAGTCATGTATTAATTTACAGATAATTACGTTTTTCAATACTATTATAAATCCTAAAATCTTAAATTTTTTGAAACTTTTCATGTTATGTATTTTTAGTTTTTTTTTAGAAGATTGATTTTTTAAAAACCATTTTTTCTTCATTTTTTAATGTTTTTTAGATCTATGAAGACAAAAGTAAAGAGCAAGAAATAATATTGCTGAAAGAAATGTGGTGGTTGAAGGATCCAAGTCAAGCTAAACGTGGAAAGAATTTGCGGAAAGCCTTTTTAAATGCACACGCCTCGAAAATTGAATCTGACGTATTTTCGAACCAAAACGGAATACAATTGAAATTAATAGAAGACGAAGATATGGAATTTTGTCTGTCGCATGCAAGACAATATAGAACCTTGAAGCCATTGGAATCTTATCACTATTTACCTGCTTTGGATTTGACAAAATACATGGAAAACGAGTATCATCGAATAAAGACAAAGAGCGACGATAAAATATTAAAAAATCAACATACCGCCATCATCACCGACGATCAAATAAATGATTCTGATTACTTGAAGAATCTGGATGACCTAATGAACAAACAACTACGGAGACACTTAAAGCACTTTGGGAAAAAGGAGAAGAATTTCTGGCAGAAAAGATCATTCGTGGACGCTGTTTACGAAACAAGAAAGATTTACATTAATAGTTTGATAGCCGAGAAAGTAAAAAATGAAACGAATGGAAAGAAGAATTAAGAAGATTCTATTTTACGAAATGACGTAATAACTAATTTATTTCGTTTACAAACATTATGATTCAACAATTAAGTAATAATACATATAAAAATGAATATTGAACTTAAATATTGAAACAAGAACTGAAACACTTTAAATAATATACACATAAAGATATATCGAATTATTGACTGTTGCAGTAAATAGAGCCGCATGAAATGCTACTTCAAGAGCGCTGTTCACTTGAAGAGGCACACCTGTTTTGCGTTGATGCGACTGTCCACGATCCACCTTTTAATGACGCCTCTCTGGCTGCTCAAGAAAGAAATAACGGCGATCCCGATTTTTCATTCGGGACCAGTCCACGCAGTCTAGTAAGATTATTATGGAACTACGAGAAGAGGCGTCTACGAGAGAGGGTGCTTCTAGATGTGTGTACACTGAGCGTGATAAACGACCTCGGATACTGGTGACGTAGTTATCATCGAAAATATTATCATTCCTCTTCTAATCAGACCAATAAACGAAATTACTTTCGATTTCAATGTCGAACTGACTTCAACCTTAAGACTTCTGTTTATTCAGAACTACTATCTCAGATTATGACATAAGAAACATACAATAAAAATTCTTGCAAAATATTTTAAATTTTAATATAGAAAAATATATTTTATGTAAAGCGCGCAACACTTACAGTCAATAAGACCAACTTATGAAATATACTAAACTTTTTTGTTAATTAATAAATAACCATATATATCAAATAATAAATATAAATAATCATATATTAATAAATAATTAATAAATAACCATATATACCAAAAACAATATAAATTATGTTTACAGCTGACAAACTTTAATTAATAATATACAAAAATAAATATGATTTCATTTCTTCCAGAAACAAAAAGCTCGATATATTTTATAAATGTATTATATCGAATGCAAATGTTATTTTATTAAAAAATGTTTCTATTCAAATATAATTTGCAAGAGTTATTGTGTTTTCTTGTCTGTGACATCACAGATATAATATTATGAGTGATGAATAAACAGGAACCTTAATTTCAATTCCTATTATTAACTGCAATTAACTTTGCAATTAACTTTATTTTTTCGAGATCTAAATTTTAGGTACGATTTAATTCAATTTTCTATCTCAATTTAATTTGATTTTTTAACGAAATAGTCTCTAGTCTAGTATGATCCTTCGCTGTTCAAATTGTCTTAAGTTTTATATAGTTTTTCGATACAAATATTGAAACAAGTCAAGCCTGTTTATCGTACACGCTATACGTCGTGTCAGCTTACGCGCTGATTGCAAGTGCAGCTGCTACTGCATTCAGGATCGGCGTCAGTCCAGCTAGTAATCACTGCCGATCATGTTTGTGTTAGGCGATCTTGTCTGTCTGTCGCGCAGCGAATTACAATTACGGCGTATCGCTGCATCATGCAGCAAGTGCGTAGGTTAGGTACTTGCGTTGAATATTGTATTATATAATTTAAAACATTAAGTAAGTGTACCCTACTGAACAAAAATCACATTACATAGTTACATAATGAAATCATGTAATTAAAACAAGTAAATCACATAACTGATTGTTCCAAATCAGTACGTGATTTTTTTAAATCACGCAATTAGAAAAATTACATGATATTAGAAATAATTTTTTATATAATTTTATAAAATTACATATTGATTTGGAACAATCCGTTACGTGATTTATATGTTTCAATTACATGATTTCATTGTATAACTTTGTGACGTGATTTTTTTTAATAGAGTATATTTTAGATTAAGTCATTTCTGTATTTTAGATTATAAGTATAGTTTCCGTTAAAAGTACATTTTTCTTTACTTATGATAAGTTATGATAAGCCACGAAGTTTAAAAAAGGAGTAAAAAGAAGGAGATCAAAGGCTGCGTTCGGAAATATCGCTCGGATGCCTTAGATTCGTCATCTTGTCTTTGTTTAACATTAATATAAGAGTATTGCAAATTGCAGTACCTCTGGCATTAGCATTATGAAAGGTCCGATCGACGCTAAAATTTATTGAATACTGTTCAGGATTATGTACTGGATAACATTTGTTAAAATTTAGACCATTGGAGATTATTCCTTTTATTTTCATTTTTGCACTAAAAATTCACTTTTGTAGATTCCACGAGCGTTGTGAGCGTTAAGAGGAACGCAGCCCTAGTCACGTCCTTTAAACGTTCCATGTCGATAAGGCCGATTTCTGTGAGGCCTTTGGTCCCACAACTCGATCGTTCTGATCTCAGTTATGTAGGACACCCTGTATATATATATACATACAAAATATAGATATAATCTTTTTTTAAATAAAATAATAAAATTGTGCGTGTCCAAACGTCACATATTCTGATACGTATATAATTTATGTATCGAACGTTCATGGATATCAAGCATTACTGATTAAGCGGCTGAATCTACATGGATACGATACGCATCCATCACTCCGCGAAAAATATGCCTCGCCGACGATCCTCATCGAAGCAGAATACGTGGATGAGGAGGCGGATTTTACCACGCGGTTCTCTCGCGTTTTATCAGGCATCTCGCGGCCTCTCGACTCGTGTGAGTCGACTCGGCATACCGAGTCGCGCTTGAATACGCTTTACGCGGCCCCATTTAGCCGCGCATCTTAGTTTACTCTCCCAGCTTCTTTTCTCCCTTTATGCATGTATATACACGAGGTTCACGTATACACGCTGTCGCGTTGCCACCCGCATATCATCAGATCCCCGACCCTCAGGATCCTGAAGAGCCACGATAAACGTCGCCAACAATGGTGATTACGTAATACCGATGAAAAGAATTGATGCGCAACCAATATACAAGGTTCACGCTTCTTGGTCCCATAAAAAATTTCAGGTTTTCATTAAAGATGCAGACTTATCATTAAAATAAAAAAAATTCGAGTTAAATTGTGTAAATTGAAATATAAGAACGATTTAATAACTAAAATTTTTTAAATTAAACATACGATTATAATACACTTTTACAAATATAATACTTTCAAATTATAATTTGTTAATAATGTGATTCATAATACCTCATTTTAATTAAAAACTTTTATTTTATATTATAACACGTTTTTTAATATATTTTTTTCAAATTTTTATAGTTTACTTAAATTATAAAGTTAAATAAAATGTAAATTATAATTTTATAATTATAGTATTTATAATTTAAATCAAACTTAAAGGTGAGTAATTAAAGTGATTATAATTTTATTAAAGTAATTGTAATTTAACTGCAATTTAAGTACAATTATTAATTATAAATATTATAATTATAAAATTATAATTAAAGTTTATTTAAATTTATAATTCCTATAACTATAAAAATTTGAATTAAGAGCACTATATATAATTCAAAATTTACTAATGATTTGAAATTAGAACTTCTATATTATAATTAATTAACATGGTAGAATATACATATTTACAAGTAACATTTATTATGTATTTACTATATGCAATAATTGTGTATTCTACTTGAACAGACTTCGGAAGTGTCGACCTATTTCTGATTTCGGTCTAGAAACCCATAGGCCAATGTCACTCGGATTTCTCAATTAAAGCTGCAATCTCATTCGATAACGTCCAAATGAGATATGCGCAATTGTGGAAGAATGTCCAGCAACAAGAAAATTACGAAAATTGTGAAAGCTTATCTAATATCAACTAGGAAATTACGAAAACGCATGTAAGGCGCGGAATATCTTAGCCACACGAATCGAGACCGCTCCTTCATTACATAATTATTCCTGATGTAACCGCATAACTATATGTATACATTAGTATGATAGATTATATAAGAAACAATGGAATAAAATACAACTACCCTAAAGAATAAAATAATTTTGAAAACATGTATCCGCTATATATCCGAAATGATAAAATAATAAATCAATAGTTTTTGTACATTTTTCTTTTACATACTGAATTAATTCGCTAACTGATAATCGAAATTTAATTCGATCATTTAATTTGTAAGCCAGATGTAAAATAAAAGAAAATACTTTTTACAATAATAAATAATTTATTAAGACCGTATATGTGAATACACAACACAAGTAAGAGTTTAATGCCTATTACGGTCGAAGCTGGATCTTATTGTTAGATGCTTTTAAATAATTTCCATGTGAATTTATATAATTTATACTAAATATGTAGTTAACTTTTATTTTACATCTCTCTTTTTCAGAGGAATTAAAATTAAGTAACAAGTATAAGGCGAACATTAATAGTAGTTTCAGAAGTGAAATTTTTTTAGAACAAACAAAGTGGAGAAAGGAGAATTTATTTTCTTGATTTTGAGCAAAGTATACAATTAGCTACTTATTGCACGATGTCCTCGAGACAGATCGATACCAATTAATAAATTGACACGAGCAAAAGGAGCTTACTCCCCTGACTTCCGCCAATTTCGCGCAAATCGCATTCTTGACTGATCGATCAAGCATCCAAGCGCATCCTTTCGGAACGTATGCACGCGTGCACGCGCGCGTGTCCGTGCATTCACACATGCGTGGTGTTAACAGCTAAGTAGAAGGGGTGGGCCCGTCTTGTGTCGTCGTCGTCATCATCTTAACCCGAAGAGGGGGAGAACGAGATCGACGCGATGTGTGGACCAGAGGAAGAGGAGAGAGAGAGAGATACAAAGACAGAGAGCAAGAGATAAGGATGGCTGAAGATGTCGAAGAGAAATAAAGAAAGAGGGAGAGAGAGAGAGAGAGAGAGAGAGAGAGAGAGAGAGAGAGAGAGAGAGAGAGACCCTCCCAGATGAGCCCTCTCCTCGAGTCTACAATCTACAACTCCAGTCTCGCGTCGAGTCCCGTCGCGGCGCATCTTTCCGAGGTCCGTCTCCCTTGGGACCGATCGATCTCGAGCGGGCCGAAAGATCGATCGCTGATCCGCCGAAAGTCGGAAGTCGCGTAGGTGTTCGGAAGTATTATACATAATATGTATATATATTTATATCAAATCTTTTTACTTTAATTCTCTCGATTGGTGACGTGGATTTTCACTTGAAAACTGTACATTGCTTGCGTGTGTCTCCTAGATATTTAAATGATGTACATATATTATTGCTTAATAAGAAGATAACGTTGCGAAATGAGATATTAATGAATTAGAACGTAGAATAAAATTATGCTTTAAGAATCCGTTATCAATTTCCTTGCTAATTAATATTTATTTGATATTTGAGTTTAATTATATTTTATCTCTCTCTCTCTCTCTTTCAAAACGTTTACCCAGATACTATACAAAGAGTTCAAAAAGAATTCAGAAATAATTCAGCATACGTCATCAATTCTGAGTTTATTTTTATATAGAAGAAGAATTTTTTTTGAAACTTTTCAGAAAAAGAAAAGTTTTTTTTTACATCCAAAAATGAATTCAAAATTGATGACATAGAACTGAATTTTTTTGAACTCTCTCCGTGCTATTTGGGTTAAATATGTGGAGTCATAAAAAAA